ACACGACGCCAAGCTCTATGAGTCAATATTCGTCTTACGCCACCTACAACAGTGGCACCACAAATTTTCCCAACGTGGCTCAAAATATATCACCGTCTTCGCAGGTATCAAAACGCTAAAATTTGTTGTTTCTGTCCGTATGGTCACCTTTCTATCTTCGTTTTTATCATTTTCCAGAAGCTAGATTACAGCGCCTACGGTAGCAGTTTGTACGGAAATGACAGGGTACCATTACAGTATTCCGGATATTACCCCATGCACGGTTACCACGCGGCACCTGCCTCCTTTAACATTGGAAATCTAAATTTTGCCGGTAACGTTCTTATCGACTTCTCTTTTACTTTCGACAAGATCTAGCGCAGCAATATTCCCCTGGAACAAATTTCGAGGTCGAATCTTGATCATACTTATAGTGCTGCAATTAGATCTAAATGTCGCTGAGGTATTACACGAGCATTGCTGAATCTTTTGTCCGTGTTGCATCATACAAAGTGGCTGATTGAAAGAAGAATAATTATCCTCTAAACGTGTCGTCCACTGAAGGCTTGAATAAGTTTGGAAAGCTAAGAATTCAGCAAAATCGTTGTTCTTGGACGATGCACACATAAGAGAAATTCTGAAAATGAAACGATTTACTTTTTAAACAGTATACAATGCAGGTCACAATACTAATAGTAGATCAACTAGTATCTGTACTTGTAAAATATTAACACTTAAAGGATACATTACCATTTTCATTCGATTAAATGCCTTGACTAAATAGAAAAGGTGTAGAAAGATTGTTTCCATATTTCCAGTCTTTTAAGTATCAAACTTTGCTTTTATCAAACTTCTTGAATAACAAGATTTGACGTTGCAAGATATCCTTCTTTGCATGACCTGTGAATTGTTAATTTTTCTTTCTGTATTTTATTTATACTTTTGTGATTCCAGAGATATCACAAATTTTGTTACTTACGCTGTTTGTTAATTTGTTTAAGTAAACACGTTTTATATTATTTCGTTTATGTTACTACGACAGTTTGCCATTTGCTTGCAATTATGATTTGTCAGTAACGATTTCCTTCTTTGTAAAAAGATTCGACAAAGTCTGCACTTACATTGGACGCAACAACTCACGATGCCAGCGATCTTACCGCACGAGAAACCGCAAACATCGAAGGTAACACGATTCGTACGTGTGATTTTATCTTTCCATTTTTTGCGTCCATACGTTCTCCTTGAATATGTTCCAGCAGCTCTCAAAAGTGTCTCTAAAATGAAAAAATAAATGAATTAGATTATATGTAGCGTGACATCTAGCAATTCATAAATATGTCCTACACCTAAGTTAGAACGAAGAAAAAGGTTTTAATAAATTACGAATTCAAGTAATTATCTATCACGTAGGTATATCTGTACAATTCTCAGATGCTATTGTTGAGTTCATCTTCGGTAACATAATTTTAAAATAATTTTGGAATGAAATTAAGCTGTGAATATAAATACGGATATTCAAGGAAATGGTTCTTTCAATTCGATTATGGTTGTTTCGCTGATCACGTGGGCGGTCGCGTGATATTTTTCTCGCATTAATTTTTTGACATATATTTAATCTCTGTTGATAGCATAAGAAATTAAATATAAAAATGCATGACTTGCATGTTTTAATGTTTGCGTCACCATTTATTTGATCAAAAATGTTTCTGCAATATAAGTTAAACAATTTTATTTTATATATACTCTTTTTATTACTTTTTTCACATAAACAATATGAAAATCGACAATGAACTTCATCGAAAGAGAATACCAGAAATAACGTTCAATAAACATGTTTCAGGAGCTACAGCGAAACCTTGCAGACGCGGAAGACGTCAGAGCGGAAGTGGAAATAGTATAGGTTCTGCGGATACAACAGAAGCCGGTCCTGACCGGATATTCATCTGGGACTTGGATGAAACCATAGTTGTATTTTATTCATTACTCAGTGGACAATTTGCACTGAAGCACCGGAAGGATCCAGCTCCTCTGGCTCAAGTAGCGTACAGAATGGAAGAAATGATATTCAATTTGGCCGATACTCATTTCTTTTTCAATGATGTCGAGGTAAACAGTCAGGCCTTCGAACACACAGGGTGTCTCATAACTAGCGAAATTATATATTTTGATATTTTATCTCTCTTATAATTTTACATGGGCATTAATTTTTCTTGTTTTAACTTATATAGGACTGTGACCAAGTACACATCGATGATGTCTCGTCAGATGATAACGGACAGGACTTATCTTCTTACAATTTCGCTAACGATGGTTTCCAATGTGCATCTGCGAATAATGGTATATGTTTGGCATCTGGTGTCAGAGGTGGTGTTGACTGGATGCGAAAATTAGCCTTTCGTTACCGAAAGATTAAAGAAATTTATAATAATTACCGAAACAACGTCGGCGGTTTGCTCGGCGCTGCGAAACAGGAACAATGGTTGCAATTGCGTTCAGAGATTGAAGTCTTAACTGACAATTGGTTAACGTCCGCTGTTAAATGTTTGAGTCTCATAAATAAAAGAAGTGACTGCATTAACATTTTGGTCACTACCACGCAATTAGTACCGGCTCTGTCAAAAGTACTGCTGTTCGGGATTGGTGGAATATTTCCAATTGAAAATATTTATTCTGCTTCGAAAATTGGTAAGTTCTATGACAAATTTAAGTATCTAAAATAATTATTATATTATATTGTATGATTTAAATTACATTAATTTTTCGTAATAAAATATTATTACGTATATACAATTAAAATACATATGATAATGTATATGACAAGAGTACCATATTTAATAATACACATTACCCTAATTTATAGGAAAAGAAAGCTGCTTTGGAAGGGTGATCGCCCGATTTGGTCGGAGATGCACATATGTAGTGATAGGCGATGATTCTGATGAAGAAACAGCAGCACGTGCCCACAATTTTCCATTTTGGAGAATAAACAGTCATTCGGACACACAATCTTTATACAACGCCTTAGAAATGGGATTTCTTTAAACAGGATAACAATGGGATAGATTTGGGGGGAAGGGGGGATAATTCGAAAAATTATGTCCTAACCGAGAAACATCTTAGTTATATGAAACTTATATAGGATATTTCTATATTCTTTACTATCGATGATGAAAGTAAAAAGAAAAAGAAAAGAAGAAGAAATAACGCTTTTATCGAGTGAACCTTTTAAACATTCCTACTATTTATCGATCGTAATACGTAAATTGAAGATCGACTGTTCCTTTAAGATCACCATATACGATTATCGATCAAGGCTATTTGTCGATCGTCAAACGCGACCGATCGGAGCAGGGTCCACAAGTGATATACAATGAAAGTAAAAGATAGTAATGAGACAAAAATGAAAATTAAAGAGTTATATATAATACAAATATTTCTAATTAATTCCTGCACAGTTTCGACCATGTATAAAAATTAGTTTGTTGAAAACTGTAAGTATCTCTCGTGTACTTAAACGTGTTATGTTTTTTACTTTACAAATATACGTATAAAAATTAAAATGGTCGAAAAATATTAAATTCGCAAGCAGGACGATGTTACGCGTAACATGCATTAGTTATAATATTTTGATCGATGTATATTTCGAAACCTTACGGAAATTTTATATGAATATTGTGATACGGTTTAATCCAATTATTTAATTATAGTATGATCCCAGTAAATGTAATAAAGCATGATCAAACGAATACTTTTTGACATAGTAGTTCGTGAAAGTTAGTCACCGTTTTATTTGTTACATTAAATAAGAATATTTGACTGAAATATCATGCATTCTTAACATTTATTTCTTCGTACATATTGCATACTAATAAGAATACTTAGGTACCTATATTTTTGAATCATTCATATCATGGTGTGGTTTAGAAACTTTTTTCAAATTTCAATCTCTTTCGAATTATCTTTAATCACAAGTAGCACATTATACGTCGTGTACAAAATTTCAGTGTCATTGAAATTTTATGAGAATACTAGAGATATGTAAGTAATATTTTCAATGTGTACGATATTATGTTGTATACTTACAATTTTAATTCATAAAAGAGAGAGATATGATTAACAAACAATAACCAAAGTTAATGTCATTGAATAACTATAAGATTGATTTATATGTTTTTGAAAAGTATGTTATATTAATTAAGAGCGCATTTGCGAAGGAAGAACAACCAAACATAAAGATATTTTGTGTAAATCAATGTAAAAACAGATGTTTACAAAAATTCAAATTATCTCCGAATATGTAAATTTATTTATATTATTTTTTCAATTAAATTTGATAGTAATGACATTATATGAAAATTATCTGATAATTGAAAATTTGTTCTTCAAATTATTATCATGTAAAAAACAAAACTATAATTTAATCGACTGAATAGCACAAAACTTGCACAAGTTGTAAAGTGGTTGAAAACGTGATGCAAAAGGCATAAATAAGTCTTTGAATAAAACTACTTTTTAATTATGCAATGTAAACTTTGGTTGAACAAAATTATGTGACTATTAAATTTAAAACACAGAGATGAAGACTATATTAAACAATGAAATTCATTAAAAATACTTAACTTTTTTAAAAATATACTTGCAACAAAATTAAGATTTTTGATATATTATTTATATTTCTCAAAAATGTATGTTTTTAAATAGATGTATACTTATGTTAAATCAACATTATATTACACTGATCAAACATGATAAATGTGGATCTGTGAGTTAAAATAGATTGACAAATATAGAAAATATAGTCTAATATTATTACATAGAAGTTTACATACGAAAAATTTATGATATAAATTTTTTTATTGCAAATACTTTTATTTCTATTTATGCAACATTCCTTTTAACTGTATATTGGACTTTGTATTAAACGCACAGTAATGTAACTACTATTCCAGTATCTGTATAATTTTATAATGATTTAAAGAATTGTATTGTGCAAAACTGTGCCTACTAAAATTACATATATTTTTGTAAGTAATTGTTATTATGATTCCAGTATCAGGCTTTTCAACATACAAGCAATAGTTTAATATCGATGTTATAGATTTATTCGTGTATAGCAATGCTTACTTTCAGCATAAGATAAGAACATAACATTGTTTAATTATGTAACTGTTTATATTTGTTTATGCTTTTTATACCGAGTAAATGATTTTGAAAATGCTTTAAAAATTAGCAAATTGCAAATACCATGTAATTTGTTTTTATAATGTATAGAATTTTAGTTAAAAGCTCATGAAATTTATGTGTTCTTTGTTATATACACGAATATTTTCAGTAATACTAACAAAGACCGCTTTTAAATACTAAAGATTTTCAATAAAAGTCATTTTGTTTATGTTTATATAACGAGAATTTTTGTATATTCTAAAATTTCATAATATTTATTTAACACACAATATAATTTTAACAATTTATTTTTTCCATTTACAGTGTATTTGTATGAATAATCAAAAAATTATTTTACATTATTTTCTTAAAAAAAGAAAAAAAAAGTGTACCTTCATTTATCAAGAGCCTCTTCTCTTATATATTTTCATTAAAAATATAGTGACTTATTAAAAATAGTATGAGTTATTTCTTTTACATGGTAACATATGTTGGATTTGTTAATACACCACAGTTATTATTTTCTTGAGACATAAGAATGTAACCATCGTTACCCCAGTAATTTGACCAAGAATTTTTTATTAACCAATAGTCCTTTCCATTCAATTTGCCATAACCGACAGCTAAAACTGCATGATCGAGTGACTCCTCTGTATTACCTATAAATAGGATATTATCTGAGTTTAGAAAATATTTTTACTTAAAAATTATTACCTTTACTTACCACAAGCTGAATCGTAATATACACCATGAGAATAAAATGAAAATGTTTTGTGGGATGCGTCAATCGCAATTGAAACTGGACCATGTTTCGCGATGGCAACTTTTAAAGCATTAGCATCATCTGATGTAACGTTTACATAACCAGTAATGTTAGCTATTGTTGGAACATTATTTGCATGGCAATAACCATCCTAAATAGAAAAATAATCAAAAACAATTTAAAAAATTAATTTTTAATTTGTTAATAAATATAAGATGAAGATTTGAGATTATAAAATTTATTCTTATGAAATTATATATGTGCATAAAAATATTATCTACAGAATACTTGTAATTTAAAATCTACTCACCTGACCAAGATAACCGCCATAATCGTCTTCAGAAGGCAAACCTCCATGTTTCATAATCCATTGATATGATCTGAAATCTTCGCCACCATCACAACCATTGTTTCCATAACCCCATGAACAATCAATAAGTGCCTATAATTATGATACATCATAATACAATTTTTTTTATTTATAATATCGTTTAGTTATTTTTTAATTTTTTTACCTGTTGAGATAAACGCACTAATTTACCATATTTCATATAATATGCACCTTCAACAGCTCCAGTTGTACCAAAACTCCAACAAGATCCACAAACAGATTGATCTATTTCATTGAAAAAAAAACTGCTGTTAGTTTGAACGTTAAATAATTTTTGTTAAATGAATCTAGAATTATAAATTAATTAAATTATTTTTTATAATTTTTGGAGATAATAAAACAAAAACCTTTAACAGGTGTAACAGCACCATATAGCCTCCAATCTAACTCATCTGGGATTTTAGTTACTTCTAGTTCAGCATTATAAGGGAATGGTTGTCCTCCATTATAGCCTGCAGTATATTGCTTACCACGTAAAGCTTTTAATTCTAAGTCAGTACGATCTACCAAATGATTAACACTTAATTGGTAGCCTTTATTAGCTCGGTTAGTTGAATGGATAAATCTGTAAATATTGAATATTAATTACTAACTCGTATTTGACACGTAACGTATAAATGTAATATATACCGTAAATTTTGTCTGAACAATTCTTTACGCTGCAATTGTTCTACATGATTTACATAATTCTTATTATGCATATTTTTAAAATCTTCAAATGCTTCATTTACATGTCTATCATAATTATGAACAAATTCACGCATAGGGTTGAATGTGTATATGTGTTTATCTCCAGGTCCAGGAAAACCAACACATGTCATATCTATTGAAGACATTATATAGTTACGATACATTTATATAAAATTAATGTTAATACATAGAAAGAATTTTAATTACTTGATGAAATTTCAAACACCTCTGTATCTGGTATCTCAGAAGAAAACCAGTCATAATTTAAATAATAATGATCATAGTGAGATCCCAGAAGACTATTAAATCCTTTCATTTCATATTTTACAGGAATTGGTTCTTTGAAATTAGGTATAGTTGGAGATTTCTATAATTAATTGTAGAACAATTGTGTCATTAATAAACTGACCAAATTATGTAAAATCAGTATAAATGTAATTATTTTACCTTATATCTTATCCAAAGAGTATACTTGTTAACTTTTTCATTAATCTCTTCTTCCAGTCTCCATTTTTCACATAGTAATCCATTAACTTCTTCCTTGCCAAGACACTAAGTAAAATATAATAAAATTTTATATTTCAATTCTGATATGTATAAAAAATGTAAAAAATATTATTTCACCTCCATTCCAGTTGTATCTGGAATAATGGTTTGAGGATGAATCTTGATTTCTTTACTGCCATTTACTTGGAGACATGTATCTTCATTAAGAACAGATTCTGTAGTTATTGGAGCAATTTTTATGCTTGTACCATAAGGTCCTCGATGAGATAATTGGAAAGTTTTCACCATTCCTAATTCAGTCAACTTTAATTTATTTATTTGTTTACAATGATTTTCATTAATTTATAATTAAATTACCTGCATAATAATCAATTCTACTAGATCCACTTTTGCCATCATACCAGGCATAAAATGGTTCACGAATTTCAGCATATGGGATATATAGAGTGCCCCGTACTATGTAAGTATTACTAAATGTTGGTGACTTCATAGCTTCAATAGAAGAGATACCTAGTAAAAACAAAAATTATCTATATTAATTTACTTTTACTTTACTAATTTACTTTTAATTTACTTTTACATTTACTTTTAATATGAAGTAAATAAAAATGATATTAATAAACATTATCTTACCTAGAATAATCACTGTAAAAGTGATTGTAAAAATATGCATGTTTTTGTTTCTGCAACACAAACAATGAAAATATTATTAGATTAGATATTTGTAGTTTTTACTTTTGATAACATTATGACCCAAGAGAAATATACTTCCAATTAAAACACTGCTAATAGCAAATTTCATTTAATTGCATTAAGACATATTATGTAAAAGATATTATTTATTAAATAATCACTGTATATATTGCAATAATTTTAGTAGTCTAACTAATGAAAAATATATAAAAATAAATGTAGGAATATATGAAAATATAAAAGTTAAATAATATGATTTCAAAAATAATCTTGTAGAAATTCATATAAAGTAATAAACACTTTTATATATGATAATATTAAAAAATTGTATTTTTGTAAATATATAAAATCTAAACATTTACTAATGAAAAAATATTCTATTTTTAATACTTGTGGATTTAATATCAAATTGATACAACTGTAAAACGAATTTATTGTCAGTTATAAAAAAAATATATATGTGAAAGAAAATTCCATTAAAAAAGAATGTTAATTAATCGTATTTTAAATACTTACTGTCGTTGATTTGAACAATACATTTTCCGAGTATTCTACCTAAATTAGAGTATTGAATTACGAATAAGCGCTGGAACAATATTTATGAATAGTTTTTAATTATTCTTGCAATCACTTCAAAGTCGACCAACTAAACACAAATACAATCCGATACAATCGCAGCTCTGTACCTCAGATTTCGAACTTATATATATTACCGTAATTTGATAAAAATGATACCACCACTAAACTCTTCACTGAATGCAATGTTTTTTGATTTGTCTACATTCTTGTTTCTATAGGATGAACTTATTAATCGTTCAATAAATATATGATTTATATGGTACTGCTTTATTGAAACAGTAATTACTTAATATTTACTATTATAGTTGTTTATATTATTTTATGTATTTTATTAGGATTTATTGTTGATATTTATGAAATCAACATTAATATCAATTTTTAATGTAAATTTTCAGACTTATTTACTTACAATTTTAATCACACATCAACCCTCTTTTTTTACATAATTAAAAATATTATCTTTTATCAAATACTTGTAGTTTAATTAATACAATTTAAAGTATTTCAATCAAATGTAATCTAATCTATAAATTTTAAGATAGAGAACATTTCTATACTTCACTGATAAAGATTACATTTATTTTACAATTTCATTTTATTCAAGGGCCTAGATTATTAAGTTCAAATTTACATAAACCTAGATATAATGCATTAATAAATATATTGTACAATAGTATTAAGTTTGTTAAATTATATAATATTCACTTAAATGACTTTTTAATATATCATAAGTTTATTATTATTTAAGTAATTTAAATTAAAAAAGATAATATTAAAAATAATCGAAAATTATAAATAGAATAATTAAATAATAAACATGATGAATAGCATAATTAAATATTTAAGTTTAATACCTTAATTTTGTAGAAAAGAAATATATAAAATAATTTAACAAAATTTTCTAGAACAGTGATTTAAAAAAAAATATTTGCAAACATAAAACTGTAACGTTTGTATTCGTTATTTTGCTTAAATTAGTTCTAGAAATGAGTCAGTTTTATGTTTCAAAGTTACCATTAGAAACTCAAAGTAAAGTAATTTTACATCACTTATCTTTATGTTTGATGTATAATTTAGATTGATAGATAGAAAGTAATCATTACTTTTTGATCTACTTCAATATATTAACAACTTATTGTTATCATTTAAAGTGGTGAACATAGATAATTAAAATTTATATATAT